GCGCGGGGGGCGAGGGCGTGGCGGGGGGGCGGCGGGGCGGGGGGGCGGGGGAGGGGCTTGGGCGGCCGCTGCGTTTCCGTGGGTCTGAGCGCGGGGTAGGGCGGGGGTCTGCGGCAGGAAGGAAGGGTCTCGATCCTGCCGGAGGACGGAAGTCCTGGCAGAGTTACTCCTCGGGCTAGGTGGAGTCCCGGGGCCCGGGCTCGGGAAGGGGGCGTGTGACGGTGGAAAGTTTTAAGAGTGCTGTTGAAATGTTCTCTATTTTCTACTCGCCGAGGAGAAACGAACTCTTGCGGTTTCCAACCTGTGTCCGTCCAGATGGCAGCCTTGTCGCTGAGAGTCCGCGTTAATCTTGAAAAGCTGCACTAGCTTTCCTGTCATTTGTTTTACTTTAATAGAGCAGACGCCGCAGTGTGGGGTTGAAGTACACAGACCCCGAATAGAGCGAAACGTGGGTGGGTTCCTAAACGTGTTTTTTTGTGCATTGCCAGAAGCACCACCACAGTTTCCCACATGATGTGACAAATTCATTAGCTCCTTTCTGAACTTGTACGTAGAGGTTGCGATTTATGAATCACCGAAAAAGTTATTATTTGCAGTGTGGGTCTGGAGTTACATTACCAAAGATTTGCACCATCCTGTTCCGTTTTTATGTCCTGGATTTCATCTAGGAGATCCCCAGACTTTCCACCTGAAAGTGATCTGTGCTTTTGCTTTAAGGAGTGGAGAATCAGGTAGGAAAAGTGGATTTTCTACTGCATTTTGTGGAACAGTATTTAAAAAAGGGTGGAATCCGTGGGTTTACAGTCCACAGCATCAAAAAAGTCACAGCAAGAAGGAATCACTGGAGAATCGATTTCCCCACGTGAATAATTGTTCTTTCATGGTCTTCAGAAAGGGGCTATATTAACAGTTTCTGGGGTTGGTTGTACTCATTACTTTAGACCTGCCACATAGGATTGAATCTTTTACAGTGATAATTTTACCAGATTGCTGAGCTCCACACCTTTTGGGGTCATAGTTCATTGTCAAAGTCTAGGGCTTCAGGAGTGGTGTGATTCCCATGGACTGACTGTTCCTTCACTCAGTTACATCAAGTTTACATTTAGCACCTGCTGACTAGCACTGGCAATACAGAAATGATTCTGGCCGTCTCTAGCAGGACGTTTTCGACCATGCTTCTACATCCAGGACTCTGGATGCAGAAGGATCACAAGCTCTAAGCAGATGGAGTTACACATAGGGAGACCTTGTCTTGAAAAAACACGCCCACAACAAAAGGCAACCCCTACTTTCATGGTGTTTACTTTCTACTTGAGGAAGACAATTCTCATTTACATAGTAATACAGTGTACCTGCCAGGATTCTGTAGCAAATAAGGCTTCTTGTCAAGGATGTCCCAAACTCACCCTCGTTAGACATGTGGTATGTGTATGCGTTTTGGCAAATAAATAGACATCCATGCCTGGCCAAAGAAATTGTTCCAAAGGTGCTATTAAGATCAGGTGCATCTTGTTCATACTTGAATAAATTCTACTCCTCTCCCTGAGTAGGTACTGAACAGGTCAGAGTGTAAGGAGGGCTGCTGTCCATCTTCTGGGAATTATGAAAGTGAAAATCAGGAATGACAAAGGCCCTGTAGGTTCTGTTTTGCTTGGAATGTGAACTGTTCCATCATCCATGGACTATGCAGCTGTCTTTTAAGGAGGTCATCTGACCTGAACAACACCACTCTGCCCACTTGCCTCATACAATTGCACAGCATTTTTGTGATCTCAGAAGTGCTGTGCAGTATGTCATGTGTCGTCTCCCCCATTTTTATTAGGTTATGAGGTTTTTTTTTTTTCTCTGCTGGTGTTTTGAAACAGGGTCTTCTGTAGGTCGCATAGAGTTTGAATTTGGTATGTAGTGGTGGCTTGCCCTGAATGCCTGATTGTCCTGCCTCCACCTCCCAGCCTCTTGGGATTTCAGGTGTACATCATCGTACCAGGTTTAGACTGTGAGGGCTTTGAAGTTAAAGACTTAACTGCCATTTAACCATTTGTACACATTTACTAGTGGAAACAGTCCTCCATTTACTCACAGGAGGTGAGTTTGGAGTAGAGGTAAGGCTGGGCGTGGAACAGTGGAGAGAAGGAAGCCTGGACTTAGAACTGGATGCCTCGGAGAGTCAGCAGCTGCGAAAAGGTTTAGACACTTTGAATGAATTGAAATTTTACTCTGTAAATATGGAAGTTTACATATTTTATTCACTTGTCAAGGTGCAGAAGAAACCTGCAGTAGCTTAATTGGGTGAAATAAATTAAAAATAAGTCTCTTCAGATATGCCACAGTTTAGATCACTGTACTTCTGCCTTCATGTGAAAATTGGTGAGATCTGTTTCCCTTGGTGTTGTAGCCTGGTTCAGAGAGTGACTGTCCTTAGAAGATGCCTCTAGAAATGCCTGCTTACCTGTCTACTGTTAGTACACCTTCAGCTTCATGTGGTGGTCTTTAATGCAGTTTCTGTTTTCACTGCCTGGTGCAGCTCATGAAATGGCTTTAGTTTTATGCTTACTAAATGTCAAACATCAGGAAAAGTGGCTGGATATGCAGAGGGGCTCTAGGTAGAAGTCAGCAGCCTCCTGTGGCTAATCCAGGTGTTCAGGCATGTCTGCTGGTCCTGGAAGCTCATCAATAAAGCACTGTTGCTGTCTGGTGAGAGTCCCAGCTGGGAAAGATTTCCTGGAGAGGGGGATTGGTTATAGCAGAAACAAGGAGGTGAGTGGTTTCTCATCATGAGCTGGCACTGGCTTTGCTGCTTGCCTAGCCTAGCCCAGTCACCAGGCAGGGAGGGGTGTGTGTGTGTGTGTGTGTGTGTGTGTGTGTGTGAGAGAGAGAGAGAGAGAGAGAGAGAGAGAGAGCGCACGCAACCATTAGAACATGGTGTGAATGAAGTCAAAGCCACAAGGTAGGTGCCAGTTCAGTCTGCTAGGTTGTTCTTACATCTGTACCTAGAACTGACTCTGATGTGAAAACTTTAAACCACTTATTGAAGCAATCTCTGGTAAAGTGGACTGGTTTGCCTTTTCTTTCTGCCTCTGACTGCCAGGTAAGTGTGTGTATAGCTTACCATCATTCCAGAAAAGGAGGAGCAGAGACACAAAGCGCAAAGCTTGTGCTTTATTTAAAGGAATGTGGAGGGATGAAGGGCCATTGCTTTGCCCCTACCATCCTCTGCTTTTCCTTTCTCCTTCCCTCCCTCCTCTCCCTTCTGTGTTTGGAGACAGATTTTCATTCCACTCAGACTAGCCTCATGTTTGCTATGTAGCAGAGGGTAGCTTTCAATTCTTTAATTCTTACTCCCAATTGCTGAGATTATAGGAATGCACCACTATTCTTGGCTTTAGATCCTTCTTGAGGTTGGCAGGATTAATATTTTGACTTTATAAGTATGGTGAAAACTGTTCACTTATGTGTTTATACATGTAGTGTGAAATGGCAGAAGTATGTTTAGGGCCATTTAAAAAACTCTTAGATGTTCTGTCCTAAACTCAGGTCAAAATTCATTTAATGGGGTGTGTACATGCATTCGTGTTGGCCTGTGGAAGCAGAGGATAGAACTTGGGTGGCACATCTTTTTTTTTAAACAGTGTGTCTTCATTAGCCCGGAGCTTGCTTGCTTTCTTTCTTTCTTTCTTGCTTTCTTTCTTTCTTTCTTTCTTTCTTTTGTTTTAAGATTTATTTATTAGGTATATAGTGTTCTGCCTGCATATATCCTTGCACACCAGAGAAGGGAATCAGATCTCATTACAGATGGTTGTGAGCCACCATGTGGTTGCTGGGAATTGAACTCAGGACCTCTGGAAGAGCAGCCCATCCTTTTAACCTCTGAACCATCTCTCTAGCCCCCAGTCTGGAGCTTTCTAATGAAGTAGGTGTTTGATTTTGGAATTTATTTTGGGTGATTGTTCATTCATAAAGCCTTGACTTTTGCCCAGTTTGTCACAGCTGTCCCAGATTCAGTTTTGAGACCGTGGGATGGAGACCAGGTAAAGGATCTGCCCT